CCGTGAGGAATACCCTGATCGGATCATGACATCCTTCAGCGTTGTTCCTTCGCCAAAGGTTTCAGACACCGTCGTCGAACCTTACAATGCCACCCTGTCCGTCCACCAACTGGTCGAGAATACCGATGAGGCGTTCTGCATCGACAATGAAGCACTCTACGACATCTGCTTCCGAACCCTGAAGCTTACAACTCCGACCTATGGCGACCTGAACCATCTTGTGTCTGCAACCATGAGTGGTGTCACAACTTGTCTCAGGTTTCCTGGCCAGCTAAACGCAGATCTTCGTAAGCTAGCAGTCAACATGGTTCCATTTCCACGTCTCCATTTCTTCATGCCTGGATTTGCTCCTCTTACAAGCCGTGGTAGTCAACAATACAGGGCCACATCTGTTGCCGAGCTAACACAGCAGATGTTTGATTCTAAGAACATGATGGCAGCCTGCGATCCTCGCCACGGCCGCTACCTCACCGTCGCCGCAATCTTCCGTGGCCGTATGTCCATGAAGGAGGTTGACGAACAGATGCTCAACGTACAGAACAAGAACAGCAGCTACTTCGTCGAATGGATCCCCAACAATGTCAAGACTGCTGTCTGTGACATCCCTCCCCTAGGTCTCAAAATGGCTGCCACCTTCATCGGCAACAGCACCGCCATCCAGGAACTCTTTAAACGCATCTCTGAGCAGTTCTCCGCCATGTTTAGACGAAAGGCCTTCCTTCATTGGTACACTGGCGAGGGTATGGACCAGATGGAGTTCACTGAAGCTGAGAGCAACATGAACGACTTGGTGTCTGAGTACCAGCAGTACCAGGACGCAACTGTCGATGAGGAGGATTTCGATGAAGAAGAGGAAGAAGAACAACAGTAAGATATCCGTGAAGTCGCTTAGCTCGATTTATAACTGGGAATGATTGATAGGAACATCTTGATTGTAGATCTTGTCAGTTATGTAACAGGATATGTTGATAAAAAAAATCCCTCTTTTCTGTTCTCTCCCCCCTCCCTCTCTCTCTCCCCCTCTCTCTCTCTCTCTTTCTCTCTCAATGTATATCTCTCTATGTGTGTCTCTGTGTGTGTCCCTCTCTTTCTCACCCTCCCTCTCAGACAGATCTTTCTTTCTCTCCCCTATTCTCTTTTTTCACCTTCCTTCCTTATTCTACGAACGATGTTAGTTTTCTTTTGAGCCACCCAAAGTGGTTCCACTAATCTTTTAAAATCTGCCCTCTGTTCTTTTTCTGCTCTCCTCTGTTCTTTTTCTGCTCCCCTCCTTCGCATCCTTGATTCTTCTTATTTTTCTCTGACTGGACTGTTTCCTGTTTCTCAAGGTATCTGTTAGCAGAAATCTGCAGTTTCTTTTTGTTCTTTGAGGTCAGGGTTTAAGAGCTAGAATTTAAACCTATGGCAATATGCAACATTTGCAATGTCATTATACAACAACACTATTTTAATTGCCATTGTTATGCAGACGATATCCAACTGTACATGTATACATCATTCCTACCTAACCAAACCAATGTCATTGATTCCATTAAAACCTTGAGGCTTGTGTTCATGATATCAAGAATGGATGAGCTCTAATTCCTTGAAATTAAATCAAGAGAAACCGGAGCTGTTGTTTATCGGTTCTAAAACTCTATTAGACAGGGTCAGCCTTCCCTTTATTAAGGTTGATGATGATGTTATTACTCCGTCTAAATCATGTAGAAATCTTGGAGCTTTATTTGATTCTACAATTTCCATGTCCGTTCAGATTCCGGGTGTTTGTAAATCTGTCAGGTATCAACTACGTAATTTAGGCATTATCCGCAAGTCTTTAACCCGCTCGGCCACAAAAAAAAATAGTTCTTGCCCTCATATCGTCTCGACTTGAATTTGGTAATGCATTTTTGTTTCAGCTGCCACAGTCTCAACTTTCACGGTTACAAAAACTACAAAATTCAACAACCCGTATTGTTACCCTTACCTGACGTACTTCTCACATTACTCCTGTTTTGTCTTTACTACATTGGCTACCTGTTGAATCCCGTATTGTATTTAATTTATTATTGCTTGTTTTTCACTGTATACATGGATCTGCCCCAGAGTATAATATTAATTTGTTGAAGCCTTATAATCCTCCCAGACGCTTAAGATCATCCGATTCTCAATTGCTTGTTGTTCCGAAAACTAAGAAGTCATGGGGGATAATATTTAAAATATTTAAAATATGACAAATTTGTATAATATGACAAATTTCGGTCATTTGCACACGCTGGACCTCACCTATGGAATCAATTGCCACAACATATTCGTTATATTTCAAGTGTAGATTGCTTTAAACATGACCTCAAAACTCATTTGTTCAAAGCGGCTTTCCGGTAGATTTAGATTTACTTTCACATTGTTTTTGTTCATTTTTGTGTGTATTTTTGTGTACTTTTAGCTTTTTTTCTCCATGCGCCTCGAACACATTAGTTATGTGGAGTTGGCCCATTATTTATACTCTATATTATAATTATTACAGCTGAGTGATTTCAGTTATTCAATTTATTAAAGAAATGAAGACAAATGATCAATCAATGACATTACCTTTATTAATCAATCAATGAAATCGTGGACAATCAATGAACATATATATTTGGCATAATAAACATGATAAAGAAAATCGATGAACAATGAATAAATCAGAGATGGAAGAAATTTTAATTAATATGCATGCTTGATTTTTAAGACTGCGAATAAGAATACATTACACTGTGACAGTATAAAAGAGTGGAAATGGGACAGAAAAATAAAAGACAGAGAGAGAGGGGGAGGTGGAAGGGCGGAGATAAGGGAGAAGATGTAGGGAAAAGGGTGGTTTAAAAAGGGAGAAAGATGGGGATGTCTAGGGAAGAGAGAAAGAGAGAGAGAGAGGGGGAGAGAGAGAGAGACTGTGTGTACGTGTTGTGGCGTGTGTGTGTGTGCGTGTGTGTGTGTGGGTGCGTGTGTATGTGTGTGCGTGGTGTATGTGCGTGGTATGCATGTGTATGTGCGTGTGTGTACGTGTGCGTGTGTGTGTGTGATACAATATTAGATATGCTAACAAAGTAAAGAGTCCACATGGGACCTTCTTGATTCATTTCACTTGTATTATTTGCTTTACATATTTGCTGTATGAGGCCATTGAGGCCATTTTATACTTATTTTCAAATCTTGTGAACATATATTTCATCTCCAAATGTCATCTGAAGAAGAAAAAAGTAGTAAAATTATAGTGTCATAGAAGCCGTTGTCAGTATAATGTAAGTCTAGTTTTCAAAGAAGAGGAACTAATATTGGCTGTGTTGCATTAATTACTAGATCATCACCTCGTGGTTGTCATGCCGTGAATTGATTATTTGATTGCCGAAAGGAAATCAAGGCCGTTTTACAGGCATCAACAAAAAACGGATATCAAGCGAATTCCCGTTTCCATGGACATAGAAGGTAAACTCTCAATCAGACAATAGGCATCCCTCTTGGAGATGGTGATGCTTACCATAATACAACGCCTATGGAATAAAGCTCCACTTCAGATAGAAAAACCAGCCCAAATTGCTCCATGAAATGTAAATGATGAGAGGTCCTGTTTGATAAAATTGAGTTAGAGAAATGTTAACCTGTACAACAGAAAGCAAAACCGTTTACTATCATATACTGAATCGGACCTTAAAGCCGATGTATGGTTTTGATAACCTCCAAAAAAAAAATTCCCATGAGTTTAGATAATAAATAGGTAAATCGCGATTGCGGTCTGTTGGTAGTGGATTTACTCTCTTGTTCAGATGTTAATGGATTCATTTTGTTTGTTTACAGAAAATAAAACCAACCAAACAACAAACCAATGAGTGTGTCGTTTTTCTTTTATTTGGAATATCCTTTGCGATCAGCTTTTACAATATGAAGAAAAAGGAGCTGGTCATGTATGGGATTTGCACTCAAGACAACGTCCAGTTTTTGTTTACATTCTATCACCATGACAACATAGCTTCTACTTTGTAAACTAAACGAGGTACACGCTTCGTTTTCCGATGGTCATGCTAGCTTGACGTCTCCATGGTTACGGCAACGATATCACCCTCTGTCCATTATGGAGGAAACAATTCCAAGGCAAAAGTGACCACGAACTTGGAATCGACCATACGCCATTGGTCAATCGGATGCCAGCATGCCAGGGATGGTCTCAAACCTCTCGTTCAAAATAAACGGCGACCTCTTCTATCTCCGGTAACCATGGGCTACGAACGAATGATTATTAGACTCGTATTCTCTAAAGCAAACACTAGGGGGGTGAATAAGTACAGTAGAAATTACAATGACATATTGCATAACCTTTCTCTTCGTAGTTTCTGTTAAAAATGACTAAAATGTATTTTTTGTATGACTAGGGAGTGATTCCTTATTTAAGAGAATCTTTAATGATAAGCTTTCCATTATATACTTTGTGTATTAAACGTCCCAAGGAAGAAGGCGCTTAGTAGCAAAACAACAAATTGTAATACTTTTGTACAACACGACACAAGGGAGAGTTGTCCGTGACTGCATCACAATCCAGTGACGAAAAAAAAAATGCCAATTTGAGATTCGCATAGCTTTAGGGATGTCATATTTTGAACAATTCATAGCGTAATTATAATTGGTCCGATATATTTCAAATTTTCGCCATTCTGTTTCTCTTACATTGCCGCTTCCATACAAATGGAATAATTATAAAGGTTGGATTGTCCTTTAATACTCTCCAACTAATCAAGGTCCTTGAGCTATATACGATCGTTTCATCACCATAGCAACGTGGCAAACAATCCCATAGACTAACGAGGTTCGCGCTTCATTAACTCATTCCACATCGCTGTCTCCATAGTAACAACGATGCTACCCCAATGCGACTGTCGCGACAACAAAAGCAGATTAATATTGGCCAAGAACTTCAAGATTTCAGTTGCTATTGGTCGATTCCATGCCAAGGCCCTCTGGGATCGTCTCAAATTGCACGCCGGTTGTAAATAGATTTCCGTTGCTGCTATTATCTACAAATGAGAAATTTGAGTTGATCCCAGCAAATTTGCATACTAGGTACGGATGCTTTCCTTTGTTGGTGGGTAAAGCGAATGGAAGGGAACAGCCCATATAACTATATGCAGGCAACGGCTCGTTAACATTCGCTCCCTCATGCTCTATAGACAACCATCATTGTATATTCCGATTGGAGGTGTTTGCACATCATCAAGTCATTTCATTTTCTTGTGGGATTAAAATCCCACCAAATCTATCACTATGCGAGAGATTGTTCACCTTCAGGCAGGTCAGTGTGGTAACCAGATCGGAGCAAAGGTGAGTCAAAGATTCGTTTCTCTTGAAATTAATCCCTTGTAACTTGGAGGGAAGAAAAAAAACACTTTTTTGATGATAGCGCATTTCGATAAACCGTTTCAGATCACCAATCGACAGCCCGTACTGTTCCGCTTTTAGTTAGGGAAATGCACTGCAAAGGGTTTTCTAAAATGTTGACAATCCATTTAAACAAAGGAAGCGTGATGGTTCTGTGGTATAGAGAAGTGGACTCCTAAGTGAGGGTCCTGAGTCCGAATCCATGTCGACGCGCTGGTGCCCTTTGTTAAGGCATTATAAATCCTCAAGTCCCTCGGAGAGAATTAAAAGGTGTCGAATACCTGGTCGCCAATACTCACAAGCATACAATATTATCGTGTATACGAGTTCTTTGTTTCGTATTTGTGTCGATTAAAGACTCAGCAGCATAGGCGTACTGAATTATTATCATTTCTAATTATTAGTATCGTTATTATTGTGGCTGTTCTTTTGGTTGTTGATGTGGTTATGAGACAACAAAATATCTAAGATAGAACCATTCCTTTTCACGATTTATCGTAATAGTTCTGGGAGGTGATCTCTGATGAACATGGCATCGACCCGACTGGTACCTACCATGGCGACTCTGATCTCCAGCTCGAGCGTATCAACGTCTATTACAATGAGGCTACCGGCGGCAAGTACGTTCCACGAGCCGTGCTCGTCGATCTCGAGCCAGGCACCATGGACTCAGTCCGTTCTGGTCCATTTGGTCAGATCTTCAGACCAGACAACTTCGTCTTCGGCCAGAGCGGGGCAGGGAACAACTGGGCCAAGGGACACTACACAGAGGGCGCTGAACTGGTGGACTCTGTCTTGGATATCGTGCGGAAAGAAGCTGAGAGCTGTGATTGTCTCCAAGTAAGATAAGAATATTGTTTTCTATATAGTCAAGATTAACAGCAACAATAACAGAAGTGCACTTTTTTGTAGGTATTAAATAGAAAGTGTGTAACTTAGAATGTATTTGTTTGTTTCAGAAATGTAATCATTGCTTTCTTTGTATAGTTAAGATTGACAGTAATAATAGCAGTAGCGTATTTTGCCCTGTAGAGCAACCTGTGTAAAGTGTTGAGTTAGTTTGTTTCAATGTTATAAATGTATTAAACCGACTTTGATATCATTTTTGTATCATGATACAGGGTTTTCAATTGACACACTCTCTTGGTGGTGGCACCGGTTCTGGAATGGGTACCCTTCTTATCAGCAAGATCCGTGAAGAGTATCCCGATCGAATTATGACAACATTTAGCGTCGTCCCTTCGCCGAAGGTTTCAGACACCGTTGTCGAACCCTACAACGCCACCCTCTCCGTCCATCAACTGGTCGAGAACACCGATGAGACTTTCTGCATCGACAACGAAGCCCTCTACGATATCTGCTTTCGTACCCTGAAGCTCACCACACCCACCTATGGTGACTTGAATCATCTCGTGTGTGCAACCATGAGCGGCATAACGACCTGTCTGAGATTCCCTGGACAGTTGAACGCAGATCTCCGTAAGCTGGCGGTAAACATGGTTCCCTTTCCTCGTCTTCATTTCTTCATTCCTGGCTTTGCTCCTCTTACTAGCCGTGGTAGTCAGCAGTATCGTGCCCTCACTGTTCCTGAGCTCACTCAACAGATTTTCGATGCCAAGAACATGATGGCTGCATGCGATCCTCGCCACGGCCGCTACCTGACCGTTGCCGCCGTTTTCCGTGGCCGCATGTCCATGAAGGAGGTCGACGAACAAATGCTCAACGTACAAAACAAGAACAGCAGCTACTTCGTCGAATGGATCCCGAATAATGTCAAGACCGCTGTTTGTGACATCCCTCCTCGCGGACTTAAGATGTCCGCTACCTTTGTAGGCAACAGCACCGCCATCCAGGAACTCTTCAAGCGCATCTCTGAGCAGTTCACCGCTATGTTCAGACGAAAAGCCTTCCTCCATTGGTACACTGGTGAGGGTATGGACGAGATGGAGTTCACTGAGGCTGAGAGCAACATGAACGACTTGGTGTCCGAGTACCAGCAGTACCAGGACGCCACCGCCGAAGAGGAGGGCGAGTTTGAAGAAGAAGAAGCAGACGACCAAGACTATCAAGAAGAGAGTTAGCTTCATTCCGTCATATCGATCACCAACGATAGAGTAAAATAGGACCCAAAAGACCCGAAACAAATTAGTCTTTATTTTTCTTGTGGTATAGTCGTGTGACTTGATTTAATGAAGGTGTGAATCGTTATAACCATGTATGATGAATTTATGATAACTAAATTGTTTCAAGTCTTATTTATCCTCATTTCCCCAAAAACGTATATAAACATATTAAATAAGATACCTAAATATGTACCAATGCATTCCCTAAACCTCCTGGACAACTCAATGACAGCATGTTTATTAATGTCTTGTGATTATGAATAAACAGTAACTCAGAAAAGCAAATAGCTACATATACTACTGTGTACGTTGACTTTATCGATTTTGAAAAAAACCAAGTTTACCTGGTAATTAATCTAGTTTCATACATCTGAGAATAATGCCCTTTTTTCGTCATTTTTAAAATTTCTAATTAAATAAGAAAATACGTTACTGTATGATTTACACTTTTTCCACAGTGAAATACTAATCATGCTTACCGATGAAGGGAAATTCAAGATCATTTCATCAATGTGTGCATTTTTAAATAAATGCCTATCATTCTTATTTTACACTAACCATGTTATAAACTATTTATTGAACGAAATAAATCTATCGGCTCTAAAACTCGTCTTTCTGTTTGATCTTTTACGCGATTCTACAATTGGTTCTCCTGGCAGCCTTTCACGGAACCGTCATTAGAACAAGTTTACCGACCTCCGGCATAACATTAAAACGTCTGTACTGTATAATTGACATGCATTTCAATGAGATGTCGGTAAACTTGTAATTATGACGGTTACGTGAAAAGATGCCCAGTCGTGTCTGATCTCTGATCCGGCGTGTGCGTGCGGAGCGTGTGTGCGTGTGCGTGAGTGTGCGTGCGTGCATGTGCGTGTGTGTGCGTCGCTGTCATTTAGCTCCCTCATTATAGGATCTATGTGGTCTTCGTCTGAATGTATGTTATTCATGCGTAGACTTATTTTATTAAATGTAGCCACGCGATCAAAATTCATCTCAAATCGAGGAGAGCAAATTCCTCAAACCACCCTCAACAGAAGACTAAAGTAAACAAAACATCCCTTAGTTCAGAAAAATCACGTTTCATGGCATCATAGGAGTTTAGTTGAGGGTACGATGTACCTCATAAACGACGGGGAAATAATTTGAACGCACCCTAACACTCATTAAACGTTTTTAATCTCAGCAAAAGAAGAAGAACAACAGCAACACCAAACAAACGATATTTGCTGGTAATAAAGCAATGTTACAAGTCATGGAGTGACTTGAATTCAGTGGCGAGATGAATATTAATAATTTTTATTGTACAAATCACATTATCCCTATCAGTAGATGCATTATTGTTCTTTTCTATATGAATGGGAAATTGTTTCAAATAACTGTTATTTGCACAAATTAACATAAATTAATTCATATAAAGGATTCGTGTGTTTCATTGCATTGATCTTTGTCTACTGAAAGAAGATGGTGAGTTTGTATTACAATACAAGTTTATTTTTGAAGATCCCTATATATAAAAATATGTGTGTGTGTTTGTGTGTGTGTCAGGGTGGGTGTAAAATAAGTTTACCATTATCTTAGCCCCCGACTCTTTCTTTCTGTCACTCTATCACTACTTTCTCTCTCTACTGTCTTCCTTTCCTCCATTTTCACCACCTCTCTCCATTTATCTATCCCTACTCTCTCTCTCTCTCTCTCTCTCTCTCTCTTTCTCTATGTATATATATATATATATATATATATATGTATCATATATTCTTCTCCTTTTTCACCAGCCCTCTCCTTTTCTCTACCCCTTCTCTCTCTCTCTCTCTCTCTCTCTCTCTATATATATATATATATATATATACATCTTCTTTTCCTCCCTTTTCACCACCTCTCTCTCCATTTCCCTATCCTCTCTCTCTCTCTCTCTCTCTCTCTCATACTCTCCTTACATCTCTCATTTGTTCTTCCTTTTACTATTCACATGTCTTTGACATATTGCACCAAAAGTTGTTTTAACTCGATTATTATACCAAAGTCATATCGTTGTATAATACAAGAGGGAAATACATAACATTACATGTAGGAAACCAATAATGCAAAATTTGCATGGACGCTCATTCCGCTGTAACTTTCAACCAACATGACCGACTAATTTAGGATGTGGATTTACTAGTAGGGGTTGCTTAAGTTCTCAAGCCCTGCCCCCTCCAAATATATATATATATATATACTGTACAATATAATATATGTAAACTATACGGTAAATCGTACACATGCTTTTCCGAACCACTCCTGCACATTTACCATACATCATTTCCACGTGTGGATTTACGTTTGACTTTGCAATAAGAGCGGACAGACGTTCCGTTGTAATGAAAAGAGAAAGATGAGATATTATCAATAATGAATTAACCCATACCAGAATAATATAGATACATTAATTTTCTCAGATAAATTAATTTGTGCTTTAGAGAGCGGTGTGACAAACTCCACGCCAAATTAATATGGACAACTTGAAAATCTTTTTGTTTATAATAAATTTGCAACTGATATTATTCCTTTGAAAATAACGCTTTTGCAAAGCTTTCGTCTTTATGGCTTTCAAAGGTAATTTGTTATATTAATCATTGCAATATACATTAATATTTGTTTTTTTACTTTGACGGGAGCTAATGATGATTTTAAACCGTTAACAACTGAATTATCTAATTCCCAAATGCTTAAAGTAGATATTCATTGATTTTAAAAACTAACTTTATTTTCATTATTGCAAAGTTGAAAATTTGATTCGACTAGCAGCCTTTTCACACACAGCTAAAATTCTATAAACATGATTAGTTTAAAGGGCTTTAAACTAATCATGTGTACATACGACATAATTCACACACAGACATTTCGGTGCGATCGTTAATCGTTTCGTGATTAACTACTGCTCTTAAAATGCGCAGTAGTGCCATTGCGCATTGAAGGTCAGGTCATATCAAACAAAGCACACGCTCCATCCAGTTTAAACACGTTTAAACCGTCACACACAAGATGTCAAGCTGTCTAGATACGAACTTCGTATCTGCAGCCTGCTTTAAGGGGCGTATGAATCGCGACTTCGTATCTATCCGAACATCGTATAAACGATGTTCACACAGGGAAATTTTTCTTTAAACGTGTTTGAAACTGTTGAGTTAAACATGTTTTATACTAATCATCTCTAGATACGATGAATTTTAGGTGTGTGTGAAAAGGCTGCAGGTTATCAAAATTCAATGCTTGGAAACATTCGAAGTAATGATTATTATATATTACAAAACGCTTAAATACAGCCCCGCATATCACCTGAAGAATGTGATGGTATTTCAAACCATTCAAAAGGGGATATGAAACCGATTCTGATAACTAAATCTTTTGTTTGTAAATACACAGGATAGGGGTTAATTAACAATCAAAGAAACCACACTTTCAAATTGAAAACCACCCGGAATGATATTAAGGACGGCATTTGTTCCCTCTTGAAACGCCGAACACACCGCGGTGTGTGCAGCTGAATATACAATGGCGTCTTATTTTGTTTACAAGCAACAGATTCGTTTAAGTTTGTATCGCTGCATTTGTCATCAAAATAAAACCATGCGCGGGGTTTAGAGCGAGGCAATAGATTACAAATTTAGCCTGACGGTAGTGAAGTAAGAGAAAGAACTCAAGAGAAGATGAAGAAACAGTCACTGAAAATGTGTGAGATGTCATGGGACATCGTCTGCTTCTGCAAATCATGTCCATCCACTAACACTCTAACACTCCCGAGGCGATAGCCGGGGGTGTCTGGACTGTTTCGAAGGTACCGAGTGTGGGTAATTTTACTAAATGCCCGAACAAAATTATGTGTATTATTTGTTTTATAAGTTGATGTTTTATTTTTTTTAATAAAATGATGTTTTATAACATGATTTTACTAATGACCTTTTGATAATGACTGGTCATTATCAAAATTAAGTGTTCGGCAAAAAAAATGGCTGGTCACGTGTACGCTCTCGAACAATCATTTTGATTCGGATCTACGTCTAAACAGTATATATTGCACAAAGAGGAATGATTTGACTGTGATCTGACATTTGCTCCGAGGACACGTCTTCCAAGATACCTACGTCATATGTTATAGGATGACAATTGCGTTTTAGGTTAGGGTTAGGGTCGGGATTAGGGTCCGGATTAGGGTAAGCGTTTAATATGCCCAGCGCACACTATACGATGCTCCTGCGATCCGATTTTCGAAAAAATGACAATTATATTAGATACGAAAATATAAACGAATATCATCTTTCTGATTTCAGTTCTGAATGATGATAAGAAATACTAACAACCGGCTCACCCTGGCAGTATCTCTTTGCAAACAAAAACGCTTCCCCGGCATGATTGTGCGTTTAATGCCAATTATTCTTTTTAAATTTCTTCATAACACGATCACCAAAATTTTCGAGAAATCAGCCCAAAGAGAAATGTCAATTTCAACAGCCTGTGTATACCCCTTACAAATCATGTGTTCGAATACATGAACGTCCTTATGTTAGTAGGTTTCAAAAGGTGATGAACGAGGCTGTTGATTTTGCCTTAGATACATATTTTTCCATAGCAAACACTAGGAAAAAAGCTACGAATAGAAATTACAATGACATTTTGCATAACCTTCTGTTCATAGTTTCTGTTCAAAATACCGATTTTTTTTGTTTGTTGTGATTTTTTTGTTTGTTTAAATGACTAGGCAGTGTCTCTTTCTTTAACAGATCCTTTAATGATAAGCTATCAATAATGTACTTTGTGTAATTCCCCAAAGGAGAAGGCACTAATTAGCAAACTAAAATTTGAAATACTTTTGCACACGACAAACCACAGAGTTGTCCGTGATACGTCACAACCTAGTGACGAAAAAAATACCAATTTGAGATTCGCATAGCTTAAGAGATGCCATATTTTAAACATTCATAGCGTAATTATAATTGGTCCAATTTACTTCAAACTTTCGCCATTCAGTTTCTCTTATATTACCGCTTCCATGGAGTAATTACAAAGATTGGACTGCCCTTCAATACTAAGCAAGGCCATCACCATAGTAACGTGGCAAACAATCCTGTAGACTAACGAGGTTGGCTCTTCATTGATTCATTTCGCATCGCTGTTTTAGGCAAAGGCTCGTTAACATTCGCTCCCTCGTGCTCTGTAGATAACCATCATTGTATATTCCGACTGAAGGCGATTGCATATCATCAAGTTATTTCATTTTCTTGTGGGATTAAAATCCCACCAAATCTATCACTATGCGAGAGATTGTTCACCTTCAGGCAGGTCAGTGTGGTAATCAGATCGGAGCAAAGGTGAGTAAAAGATTCGTTTCGCTTGAAATTAACCCCTTGTAACTTGGAAAATTCATTTAAAAATAATTTGATGACGGTAGTATATTTCGATAAACCGTTTCAGATTCTCAGTTGACAGCCCGTACTCTTCCACTTGAGGGAAATGCATTGCAAAGTGTTTTCTAAAATGTTGACAATCTGGTGCTTGGGTATAGAGGAGTGTCCCTGGTCGCTTACTCACAAACATAATGGCCCGAATTCACAAAAGAGGTTTGTCGACAAACCTCCTTTTGTTTCGACAAACCTCCTTTTGTTATTTAAAAACCAGGTTTGTAAAAAACGCGTCAAAACGCGTCATATGACGTACATAAACCTCGGTTTGTCGACAAACCTCCTTTGTGAATTCGGGCCAATGTTCTTTTAGACGTCAGGTAAAACCAACCAACTAACCTTGAGGAGTGTGCGCAAGTCCTTTGCATTTGACGGTTCGATAAGGATTTCCACTACTAATTTGCAAAGGCAAGTGATTTGTATAGCCTTTGTCTTGAAAAGCGTTTGTTTGCCGGTCATGATCCGGCAAACTTTTTAAGAAGAAGATAAAATTTGGAACTGAATTTAGAGTATGTAAGTATATAAAGTTAATTGTCTTTCCATGTATTCATGCTCTCGGTAATCTTGATATAACGCATATAATTCTTTAAGATTTTGTAAACAATTCCCCTGATTCCACAGTAAAGAGACAGTTTGGAAGTTAAGCTTTCGTCGTATAATAATTATGCCGCAACTTTAACCCCGTAGCATAAACTGTATCAATATTATAAATACCTTTTCAACGGCACTCAATACCTCAGTATAACCACCAAACTGACTCCAGTTGACCGATTCTTGGCCGTTATAGGGGTAATGTAAGTTTTTAGTTCGGTCTATTGTGGGGCTAGGGTAGATTTCATTGGTGAAACTGAGATGTAATATTTCCAACCTTTGCAATGCAATAGTGTTACTGCCATTCATGTGTTTTTGATTAAGTCCTTTGTTTCGTATTTTGTCGAATAAAGGCTCAACGGCTAGGCGTACTGAATTACTATTATTTCTAATTATTAGTTTCATTATTATTGTTGCTGTTGTTGATGTGGTTATAAGACGGCAGAAATTCTCAGAAAACAACATTCCTTTTCACGATTTATCGATAGTTCTGGGAGGTGATCTCTGACGAACACGGCATCGACCCGACCGGTACCTACCATGGCGACTCTGATCTCCAGCTGGAGCGTATCAATGTTTACTACAATGAGGCTGCCGGCGGCAAGTACGTTCCACGAGCCGTGCTCGTCGACCTCGAGCCAGGCACCATGGACTCGGTCAGATCAGGTCCCTTTGGTCAGATCTTCAGACCAGACAACTTCGTCTTCGGTCAGAGCGGAGCAGGGAACAACTGGGCCAGAGGATACTACACAGAGGGTGCTGAACTGGTGGACTCTGTCTTGGATATCGTGCGGAAGGAAGCTGAGAGCTGTGATTGTCTCCAAGTAAGATAAGAATATTGTTTTATATATAGTCAAGCTTGACAGCAACAATGTCATTATAGTGCAATTTTTTCTGTAGAGTTACTTTTAAGAAGTGTGTAACTTGTTTCAAGGAATGTAATTATTGTTTTCTTTGTAATTAAAGGTAATACAAAGTTTTGGGAATTTTCGAAAATTGGGTGGTGGTGATTCTTTTCAATTTTTATATATTTGGATACCCCTGTGGATGTAATATAAGCACTAAAAAATTTAACCCCTCAAACACTTCTGCCTTCGAGAAAAATTGAATATAAACATTTACCGGTGCTCCCGGTAAATTCTGATAAATTTCAAATAGTGCCGTACGGCCGTACAATGGTAGCTGCGACCATGAACATTTCAGAATATGTAGTTGTGATATATAATTTCCAAATGGGAATAGTAAATCGGTCGATATTAGTCAAGAAACATTGTTTTATAGCTTAATTAATATATTGACCTTGAGAGGGAGCTATACAACATAAAGAGTTTATTATTTATAATTTCATAACTTTAGAATCGATTTCAACCGCGACAACGATCACTGAATATTGTAGGGTCACATATGCTTCTAATATGTTCATTTGAACCAAATTCACGACCCCATACCAAAACTTTGTATAACCTTTAAGATTAAAAGCAACATTAGCAATAGCGTGTTTCTCTTTGTACAGCAACTTGTGTATAGTGTTAAGTTTGATTGTTTCAACCCTTAAACGATTGCATCGGCTTCCCATTCAATTTCGCGTCCAGTTCATAGTTCTTCTTTTAACTTTCATGTCATGGTCATGCCCCAAATTATCTTTCTGAACTGATTCATGAGTTATACACATCCAATGGGCCCCTTCGCTCTGCAAATCAAGCTCTCTTGACCGTTAAAAAGGCAAAATCAAAATACTTTGGCGATAGGTCCACGTTTGTGGAATTCTTTTCCAGCCTCCATTCGTTACATGTCTGATATTACTTTGTTTAGATTAAAATAAAAAACCTACCTAATGGAAAAAGCATATTCAACCTAGTTCTTAAATTGTTACCTTACCTTGTTATCTTATGTTTGATAATTTCACTTTAAATTTGTTCTTTTGTCATTACTCTGTTTAGTTTTACTTGCATTGATATTGTTAAGTGCTTTGAAATAATTTTCATATGAAAAGCGCAGTATTAGTAAAAGTTATTATTATTATTAATGTAATCAATGTAACCGACTTTAATTTTATTTTTAATCTTGATACAGGGTTTTCAACTGACACACTCTCTTGGTGGTGGCACCGGTTCTGGAATGGGTACCCTTCTTATTAACAAGATCCGTGAAGAATATCCAGATCGAATTATGACAACATTTAGCGTCGTCCCTTCACCGAAGGTTTCAGACACCGTTGTCGAACCCTACAACGCCACCCTCTCCGTCCATCAACTGGTCGAGAACACGGATGAGACGTTCTGCATCGACAACGAAGCCCTCTACGATATCTGCTTCCGTACCCTGAAGCTCACTACTCCGACCTATGGCGACCTGAATCATCTTGTATCTGCAACCATGAGTGGCATAACGACCTGTCTGAGGTTCCCTGGACAGTTGAACGCAGATCTCCGTAAGCTTGCGGTAAACATGGTTCCGTTTCCTCGTCTCCATTTCTTCATTCCTGGCTTTGCTCCTCTGACTAGCCGTGGTAGTCAGCAGTATCGTGCCCTCACGGTTCCTGAACTCACTCAACAGATTTTCGATGCCAAGAACATGATGGCTGCCTGTGATCCTCGTCACGGTCGCTACCTGACTGTTGCTGCAATCTTCCGTGGTCGTATGTCCATGAAGGAGGTTGACGAACAGATGCTCAACGTTCAGAACAAGAACAGCAGCTACTTCGTTGAATGGATCCCCAACAATATCAAGACCGCTGTTTGTGACATCCCTCCTCGCGGACTTAAGATGTCCGCTACATTTGTAGGCAACAGTACCGCCATCCAGGAGCTCTTCAAACGCATCACTGAGCAGTTCACCGCTATGTACAGACGCAAGGCCTACCTTCATTGGTACACTGGCGAGGGTATGGACGAGCCGGAGTTCATTGAGGCTGAGAGCAACATGAACGACTTGATGTCCGAGTACCAGCAGTACCAGGACGCCACCGCCGAAGAGGACGGCGAGTTTGAAGAAGAAGAAGAAGAAGAAGAAGAAGAAGGAGAAGAAGATCAAGAATATCAACAAGAGCAAAATTAGCTTCGTTCCGGCATATTTGACCACCAGCGAAAGAGAAAAACGGAACCAGTATTTACCTCACATTTTTACGGAGGAAAATATGTTAACAGGACAATATATTTTCAAATACCAAAAGTAATCAGTTATCAACAAATTAATGCTAACGTTTTCCGCCACTCATCTAGCATGGCATTACAATATTGCATATACACCTATTAAGTCGATTCTTGTCGTTATTATCCTGAAAACAGAAAATATACTCTCTAGACAAAACTTATTTTGATCTGCAAAGGAAACTAAGTATTCGTTATGGTAATTTATAGGTATTAGTCAAATGGGACAGTTATTTGATTTGATTTTTTGAAGAAAAAAAAAGGTGGTGAGGGTTTCGAGAAACATGCCCCTTGCTCTTGCTATGTACCATGAATGTACAAATTAACAATCATTTCGAACGAACGTATTAACACATGATAATCCCAAAATTATTATAACCATATATATCATGAATTGATGCTTACAAAACTGTTTCAAGGATTGTATATCCTCAATACAAAAATAGTCGTATGTATACGTATTATATAAGATGCCTGCATATGTAACGATTCATTTCCTATACCTCCAGGACAACTCAATGCAATATGTTTTTTAAATACCTCTGTGATTACACAGACAAGTAAAGAACTAAATTTATTTATTTATTTATGATATTTATACAGGGTGGCACATATCACCAATTTGGTGGTCTTCCGTGTGGCCCTGTTTGGTAGGAATACTTAGATTACTTAAACGTTGCCTTTATTGGATTTGCAATCATTTGAAATAAATTAGATTTTAATGAAAAGTAATTGCGTAGCAATAATAATCTATTGTTCCTGTTAGAGACCATCAAGGGGGGAATTGATAAATTAAGTCAAGATGTGCAGATAACATCTGACCTGAATTTAGAACAATTAATAACTCTGTATATGTAAATCTGATATTCGTGTGTTTTGGCAAAATATTAGGAAAAAGCTGATTCTGGAAGTATCGGTCCCCTATGAAACAAATTTACACAAAATTGACGAATATGATGAAAGTAAGTACGCTCCTCAAATTTCCGATAATATATCACAAGGCGATGTTGGCTCTCGGAGTTTATCTCTTCGAAAATACGAAATGACTGAAAACCATCGTAAATGTATTTTGGTAAACCAACAAATTTCTAGCTTTTTTTCGAGATAACATTTCTAAATTAACAATGACTAAATAAACAATGTGTAAGGAGAAGAGAAAATGTATTCTTTCCCTGCAAATACGTATTTTCAACATGTACCTTTAGTAACTGACATGCAGAAAACTGATATGGTTGATAAATATTTTGTTGAACTTGGTGAAGAAATAATAAAAACATTCCATCATTTAAAAAATCTGTTGATGTTAATATGTCAGGCAGTTTGATATTTTATAAAGCCAACATGTGTGTCTGAAATGGTTAAGCTGGCTCTTCTTTGAAATCTTCGAAATAGGTGATCTGATGAAATTACACCACGAGTTATAAAAGAAAGCATACATTTATTTACAGATCCTCTTTGTAGTGCCTTTTAACAAATCCATTTCTTAGGGGTTCTACTAAATAACTTTAAGATAGTGCCAGTTTTCAATAAAAATGACAAAAGGAATATTCAAAATTACAGAAAGACTGCCCTGCTACCGATTGTTTCCAAATTATTGGAAAAGATGATTCATGAACGATTGTTCAACTATTTAGAACAAAATGATTTTGTTTATGGCACAGCAGCTAGGGTTTCGCGGAAACTCCTTTACTGGTATGGGTGTTTTTAATTTAACTGATATCATTCTGAAAAATCTTGAGCAAGGAAATTTTTGTCTGGATATATTTCTAGACCTGTCACAAGCATTTGACACCATTGTTCACCAAATACTCCTCAATAAACTATCACACTATGGTGTAAAAGGAATTGCTCTGAATTGGTTTCAAGATTATTTTTCAAATAGGCAACAATATGTGGTGATCAATGATGTCAAATCTCAATCGCAAATATTTAATGTGGTGTACCACAAGGCTCTGTTTTAGGTCCCCTCCTGTTTCTTGTCTGTATTAATTACATCATAAAGTCGTCAGCATTATTTCATAATTCATTGTTTGCTGATGATACAAGCTTGTAATGTCTCGTCAAAATATTAATGAACTGATATCATTAGCAAGCAAGTACAAACGTTGTATACCTGGTTTTGCAGTAATAAGTTGTCACTGACCTTTGACAAAATTAGTAATGTGATTTTTAGATCAAGGAGTAGGCGGGTCCCGAACGATGTCCATTTATTATTGATCGGTGGACATGAAATCATTAGAGCAGACAATTATTGTTCCCTTCTTGAAGTCACTATCAAGGAATTTATTTCATGGAAGCCTCATAATATATTTGTTCCAAGATTTCAAGAGGTATTGGTGTCTTATCGAGCTGGAGATATATTCTACTTCAAACTTCACTCATCACCAGGGGCGGCGATCAGGGGGATTGGGGACACGCCCCTCCCCCATTTTGTTAGGGAAATCGTCCACCCCCCCCCCCCGGAAAATGTGAAAAGTGCACACAAAAAATGTATAGCAAATACTGTTTAAAGACTGCAGCACACTTTCAGGCTCTGGAGGGCCTAAGCATGCAGCGTTTAGACTAATGAAAATGCATAAATCTTCTCACTCGGTCGATCGCTACGCTTCCTCGCAAGTCACTTCCGTCACCTTAGCTTCGCCTCGCACGTTCACTTTGCTCCCTCATTCCTCGCATTTCATCCTCCGGTCATGAACAGAAATCGCCGCCCCTGCTCATCAGTATTTACAATGGTATTATCTTGCCTCATTTCCTGTATTGTAATATTGTCTGGGACTATTCATAATTATAAAACCAACCTTCTTAGGTTAAAATTATTACAAAAGAAAGTAATTAGACTAATATCAAACTCTAACTTTCGAAGTCCAAGTGGACCTTTATTTCGTCAACTGCATATTTTGCCCGTTACGGACAGTATTTTGCACAGTGCTCTGATGTTTATATATAACTATAACCATGGCCTACTGCCATCCTTGTTCAATGACAGTCATGTTCACTTGAAATTCCTCTATTCATTCGTATGACACGAAACAAAATCATTATACGATTTTTTTTTCTTCAAACGGTTGAATAAATTAAAATTGAAAATGTGGTGTGCGTGTATGCGTGTGCGTGTAGGTGTGTGCGTGTGTTTGTGTGTGTGTTTGGGTGTTCATACAAGTATGCGTGTGCGTATGTGTGTGTATGTGTGTGTGTGTGCATGCGTGTATGTGAGGGTGAACAATAAATGTATCAGTATCCTAGCCCCCGATTCTGTCCTTCTGTCACTATATCCCTTCTCTCTCTCTCTCTCTCTCTCTCTCTCTCTCTTTCTCTCTCTCTCTCTCTCTCTCTCTCTCTATATATATATATTCTTTTCCTCCCTTTTCACCACCTCTCTCCATTTCTCTCTCCCTTCTCTCTCTCTCTCTCTCTCTCTCTCTCTTTCTCTCTCTCTCTCTCTCTCTCTACTTCTTTTCCTCCCCTTTCACCGCCTCTCTCCATTCGCCTATGCCTAATCTTTCGCGCTCTCGCTCTCTCTCTCTCTCTCTCTCTCTCTCTTTGTACCTTACCTCCCTTTTCGCCAACTCTCTCCATTTCTCTATCCCTACTCTCTTTCTCTATCTCTCTCTCTCTCTCTCTATCTACCTTTCCCCACTTTATTTCGCCACCTCTCTCCATTTCTATATCCTCTCTCTCTCTCTCTCTCTCTATCTATCTACCTTTCCCCATTTTATTTCGACATCTCTCTCCATTTCTCCATCCTCTCTCTCTCAATCTCTCACCTTCTACTTACATCTCTTATTTTTTTTTCTTCCTTTTCCCATTTACATGTCTTTGACATATGGCACTAATAATTGTTTCGACTCGATTATTATACCTAAGTCATATAGTTATCAATACATGAATGAAACACATGACATAACATGAACGAAACCGAAAATGCAAAATGTGCATGGACGCTCATTCCGCTGTAACTTTCAACCAACATGACCAACGAACTTAGGATGTGAATTTACTATTTAGGGTTCTATAGTTCTCAAGCCCTGCCCACTCTCCCCCCCTCCCCCAATGTAAGCGAGGCACAGTGAAAATTAATTCAAGGCTCCTAAAGCCCCCCCCCCCCATACATATATATCCATTTATATATAAATAAATAAATAAATATATATATAAACTGTACAATATATGAACAATATACTGTATATCGTATACATGCTTCTAGAACAGCTCCTGCGAATTAACAATAAACCATTTCCCCGTGTTGATTCACATTTGACTTAGCAATAAGAGCGGACAGACGATCCGTTGTCATGACAGAAAATATCATCAGAATAATACAGATACATTGATTTGTTTTAAGCCTCGCCGCTTTTATTTGCACACGTTACACAAAATTTGATCGACAGGAACAACACGGACTGTAATTGCAAAATATCAAAAGTAGCAAAATTATGTTCATTATGGTCATCATTTGTAATATCATGTATTGATAAGACGAGCCTAATAAACCCGTTTGAGGCTTATTCAGCGGCAGAGTCACATGCAATATGCAAATATTTTATCAATATTTTATAAGTGTGAAAATAAAGTGCATGGGGGTGTTGGAATGAGATACTCAGAATATTGTTGTAATTTTGCGTTTGTGGGGGCATTATCACAATATCAATTTACATTTCAATGAAAATGGCATACTGATTTCCGCATGGACCTCCCCTTAATACAAAGAAAAACAAAATTTATTGCACATAATATTTGAGAGGGAAAGTAAATATTAAAACCCTATCTCATGCTCCAAGCATAATTATAATCATGATGTACAACAAATGATTACATCATCCACTTATACTTCGATAGATCTCAAGAATGTCGTCGGTGATAATTGGCAGTTCAAAAAAATAAAGCACTTTAAGGTACAAAAATCATATTTCAGAATCATATAAACTATTTTACAAAATCCAATATCCGGGGAGCGTGACTAAATATGAAATAAATCTCACATCAATCGCATGCTACCGCATTACATGTAATAAATAGTTAAGTACTGTCAAACTTATAACTGCTTCATGTATTGTGTGAACTGTACATTGCCAGTCTTAAGAGGGTAATAGTTTGAAAATATTTTTAAAGAGAAATTGGACTGAATAATTGTGAATCTACCTGCTTCTGTGAGAAACAGTCTTTGGAAAACAATGCCGTACATACAGTACTAAATTTTGTGCATCCAATACAGGGATTTCGATTTGTATTTTTCTTGATTTTCCGATTACCTTACAGTTAAAATCGCACGCTTCGGCATTCAAAAAGGGATACTGTTTATTTCATAAATGCTATCAACGGTGTTGTTGTGGCAAACATGACAAAACAGAGAAGAAAAAAAATCGATATCCAATACTTGGTTACAACAAAAACATTCACATGTAGAATTGTTTACAAGCGCAGATGACATTATAGTTGTTGGATTAATATTAAAGATTCACGCAAATGCATATGCTTTCATTGATGATGTTAAAAGATAAGGGCTGTTTAAAAGCGCAGAAAGTCATTTATTCTAGTACTTTTATTTGATTACATAGTTTACACAAAGAGTTATATTATATCCTCAATATCCAGCTTTAGGATTAAAACATTAATCATCTCCTTGTGCTCATGCTTCCTCCTCCTCTGCCTCCTCTTCGAACTCGCCCTCCTCTTCGGCGGTGGCGTCTTGGTACTGCTGGTACTCAGACACCAAGTCATTCATGTTGCTCTCAGCCTCAGTGAACTCCATCTCGTCCATGCCCTCACCAGTGTACCAATGGAGGAAGGCCTTTCGTCTGAACATAGCAGTAAACTGCTCCGATATGCGCTTGAAGAGTTCCTGGATGGCGGTGCTGTTGCCGATGAAGGTGGCTGCCATTTTAAGACCTCGGGGAGGGATGTCACAGACAGCAGTCTTGACATTATTTGGGATCCATTCGACGAAGTAGCTGCTGTTCTTGTTCTGGACATTGAGCATCTGTTCGTCAACCTCCTTCATGGACATGCGGCCACGGAAGATTGCGGCAACGGTGAGGTAGCGACCGTGACGAGGATCACAGGCTGCCATCATGTTCTTGGCGTCGAACATCTGCTGTGTTAGCTCGGGTACGGTGACGGAACGGTATTCCTGGCTGCCACGGCTTGTCAGAGGTGCAAAACCAGGCATGAAGAAATGGAGACGGGGGAAGGGAACCATGTTGACCGCTAGTTTACGCAGATCTGCGTTCAACTGTCCAGGGAACCTGAGGCAGGTTGTGACACCGCTCATGGTTGCCGACACAAGATGATTCAAGTCACCATAGGTGGGTGTGGTGAGCTTCAGGGTACGGAAGCAGATGTCGTACAGGGCTTCGTTGTCGATGCAGAATGTCTCATCAGTGTTCTCGACTAGCTGGTGGACGGATAGTGTAGCATTGTATGGTTCGACAACAGTATCTGATACCTTAGGAGATGGGACCACACTGAATGTGTTCATGATGCGGTCAGGGTATTCCTCACGGATCTTGCTGATCAGAAGGGTTCCCATGCCGGAACCAGTGCCTCCACCAAGTGAGTGTGTAAGCTGGAATCCCTGAAAGAAAAAATGAATATTGAAGTTGGTTATGGGTCTCAACCAATAAACAAAGAAGCACGAGAGGAAATGCGCATCTTTTGCTGCTTTTCACATACAATTTCCTGCTCATCATGGAAAATCTGCCCACCCCAACACCACCCTTAATATTTAAATAGTCATGTATTAATGATATCCCATATTTGTTTTCGTGGTTTCTTAATTACCATCCCCATTATGGGTCTGCCTTTGCGATTATTTATAGTCTTATTATATTTATAGTCTCCTGCTAGCCATTTCTAATCACACTGTAATGATTTTGTTAAGCGTAACACTTCACTAGCTAAACAGCTAGTGTCAAATCAATTGGGAAAATGGACAAACAGACAAAACTCGACCTATTTTTCTAGGAACTAAAAATACTATAAAATTATCTGGTTGTCATGATAATGTAAAAGAAGAGTAAAACATGTTATCATGTAGCTACTTACCTGAAGACAGTCACAGCTCTCTGCTTCTTTTCTGACAACATCGAGCACAGAATCTACGAGTTCAGCGCCTTCTGTGTAGTGTCCCTTGGCCCAGTTGTTCCCTGCTCCGCTCTGGCCAAAGACGAAGTTGTCTGGTCTAAAGATCTGACCAAAGGGACCGGAACGGACCGAGTCCATGGTGCCTGGCTCGAGATCGACGAGCACGGCTCGTGGAACGTACTTGGCGCCGGTAGCCTCATTGTAGTAGACGTTGATACGCTCGAGCTGGAGATCAGAGTCGCCATGGTAGGTACCGGTCGGGTCGATGCCGTGTTCGTCGGAGATCACCTCCCAAAACTATGAAGAGAATGAGTGAGTAAATTAGTGCATAAAAATCAAGAGTTGTTTAGGTATGGGCCGATCAACTTATCAGTTATAGACCTAATCTTTTTTCATCATTCTGGCCTGTTTTAATGACAAAATGTCTAAATATCTTCGGTTTATGTCGGTAGATGATAGGGGATAATTAGGAATCTTTTGGGGGCGTGCGTCTGTCTAGTGCATGTGTGTTTGTGTGTGCTTCAGAGAGAGGTGTGAAAAACTGCACACCCAATTCAACTCGAAAATCATTTCATTTAAATAAATTTGCAACTGATATCATTGCTTTGAAAATACCGCTTTGCAAAGCTTTCTTCTTCACAGCTATCAAAGCTAATTTGTTGTATTAATCATTACAATATACGCTTTAAAAAAAAATTAGTTACTTCGACATGGGCTAATAACAATTTTAAAGATAAATTTGAGTTCTAGTCATGTGATTGCAACCGATCAGAAAAGGTTGATCCTCTGGTATATAAGTATAAGATAAGAAATTTGGCACAGTATTGGTACAGTTACAAGCCCTGTACACAGGAATAATGTATTGTTCTATTGTTATGCTGTTACATGCCATATTTAGAATATTAAGGCATTTGAAGAGCCATGCTCTTCAAGAAACATTTGTTATATGATATTCTTCCACACTTGCACAGTAACAATGATAACGCTCACAAATTATTTTTCACCCCTTCAACTCAACCTTCTCTTTAAATGATATGATGAGGTGCCGCCTCGCGAAATGTAGGCTTATGGTCCATCTTTTCGTGCTGTGCCTTGTATTTTAAAAGTATGTAGTGGGTAGGGGATTATTTATCACGGCAAACTTTAACAAAGGTACAATTCATTTTGATATTCGAGGCTTAGCGTTGTAGTATTTCGATGATCGCAAGGTTTATCTTCACAAATCTGGTATTATTGTGAAACAGAAAGAGACTGCCTTATAATTAAGTAATGTAGGCCCGCCCCCCCCCCCCCCCACTCAGTGTTATTTAGGGTACGCATATGCTTGTTCCCTCTTTTTGAAAGCACCCCCTATCTGAGGACTGCCAACATTTCCGAACACCCCTTTCGCGGGCTTTTCCTGCCTTGGAGACCCCCCTAAATCATGAAAAATGATCAATGTACCCCCTAAATTCGGAATAATTTCTCAGGAGTCCAAAAAGATGAGAGAAAAAAAGAAAAAACACCCCCTTTTTAAAGAAATCTCCGGGTGAAAAGTTAATACGCCCCTTTTTTTTACAATTCTCGGGCCGGACTTAGTCGCACGAAAAGTACCCTTTTACCGGACATTTTGGTAACACGCATGGGGTCCGTCCGTTCTTGGAGTGGGCGGGGGGGGGGGTGTAGGTCTTTTGGGATTAAGTTATGTTTCTCGTTAGAGGGTTACTGGGAGCGCAGATTTCTTTGTTTTTTTTCAGAAACGTAAACTATCTATATTTATTTAATGAGTAGGCCGATAGCTTCCCATTCGTTATATAACTAGGTGTATTAAAGCATCGTCCACAATTTGTTGAAAATGTCGAACAAAACAACCAACCTGAAACAATCGTCTCAAGTTCATGCACATTTAGAAAGGTTCTCCCGTTTGGTTACCGCGCCACCCCCCCCCCCCCCCCCCACTCCCTCCCTCTCAAGTATGACAAGAAATTGCCCGCTCTGGCTAGTGGGTGTTGTCTGCGATTAGCTCCTCGGCTTGGAAGAGCAGTTGCCTTCAGGATCTATTACAGTTTAATCATGGACCATGGTTTATTAACCCGTTTACTACTGAACTCTCTTATTCTCATAGGTTTGATACAGGGACCACCAGGTTCCAGGAGGGAATGGGTTAATGAACACATATCGATGACTCACTCATTATGAACCAAGTGCATTACCGTAGAAGCACGCTGAACTATTATAATTACAAATGCATGAGGGGCCGAATATAATAATATTGATATTGCCATCAGAATAATGCAATAAAGGTTGGCCTGCCCAATACAAATTGAAATGCTGATGAGCCCAGCTATATTGATTTCTTTAAAGGCTATAATAAAGCTATAATTAAATTTGTTCTTTTTCTATATTTTTTTAAAATTAGAGTTAGCGTTATTCCCAGCTCACACAATACGACCCGATTTTCGAAAAAAAATGACAATTATATTAGATACTAAAATCTAAACAAACATCATTTTCCTGATTGACGTTCTGAATGATGATGAAAAATACTAACAACTGGTATTTAGTGCATTTAACTTCTCTAGTCAGAATTTTTTTAAATGCCGAATCGGTTTCAAATCGTAGACAATCGGTCTGACATCACCGAACAATTATGAGCCTATTTAGCTTTTTCAACTCTGCGGAAGCTCAAAATCCCTTGACATTTAGCTTTTTATATGATTATTCAAATCCTCGGTCGATAATTGAATGTTTATATATTGATAAATGCTATAATGGAATTTTTTTTCAAAAATCGGATCGTTGTCAGGTCGTACAGTGTGCGACGAGCTTAAAGATAAGGATTAGTGTTATGATGGCTTTGGAGGGGGTGGGGCTTTAATGGGTAGCTTTGGTGTTCTTGCAATATGGTTTTCTACATACATGTGCCTCATGTGGAGTTAATGGAAATTTATGTCGCAAGAGTATGTGTCATGTAACCCATAGACCTACGTTCAATATTGCACTGACTAGGCGCATGCGTAGCTCGATCGCACGATCAATGAGTCACGCGAACCCCTTATGCTGACACACATGTGGCGCGTGGCCTTATACAGTCTACCAGTCAAAGGTGCATAGTGACTCACCGCATAACTCACTACACTGGTAATGTAATGAACGTTCCCGCTTCATTTAAAATGCACATATTTGAGATCACACGCTCGCGATGAGAGTTTAATACAGACACGAGCAGACTGAAGATAGTGACGTGGAGCTTTTGTCATTTATACATCATACTCATAAATGAGTCAGATATTAGATGTGCGATTCGTGGCTGGTGTATCAATTTATTTAAAAGCGGCAGCGGTCTAACTGTTTAGTGAAATATGACTGTAAACCATGTCCCTGTCTGTGCATGGGCATGTCCCAGTGTGGTCGTCAATTTCAGTGCGTAATTATAACAGTAATATTTCGCTTTTATATAGCGCGTAAGATGTATCTAAGCGCTTATATATACAGATATATATTATCCCGGTCATTATGTTGCAGATAGAGCAGTATATATGCCATGGTGCAATTATGAATCTACTAATTAAATTTACCTTTTCCTTAGATGTGCTCCCAATTAAAATGTTAAACTTTTATAATCAATCAAAGTTGGCAGTATTATGTAAACTATACAATGGCGCCACGGGAGGCCGAGCAGTGATGCACATGCAGTGATATGTTATGCTTGCATGAGTAATGATGCACGAGGAACATTTTGGAGGTACAATGTACACCTTCGATTGGGAGCAACCCTTGGCTACTCTTCCATACATTGCCTATACAGGCCTACATCATAATTATGTAGTAGGTCATATTAGCGGTAGGTTTATAAATTAATTGATCCCCATTCAATATTCCAGAGTTTTCATATCTGATTGTAATATTTGAGTTCAGGCTCTAAACTAATTTGGTTGAATTACATGCATAACCCTCTTATTTAATTATGAGGATTTACGACGTTCTATATAGTCAATATGTTAAACTCCATAATATCAACAATCCACAAAGGAACATACAATAGGCATAATTAAAATATGCAAATCCATTTAAAGCATCGGATCATGAGTGCGAAATGAAGAAGAGATGAAATATCCTCATGCGAGAGAAAAGCTCTGGAGTTTGAATTCAACAGTTACTGTTCAAGAATCAAGACAGTATTGTACTGAGATGACCGATGATGCAGATGCTACGAACTCATGGCCGAGAAAGCTAGAAATGAATAGAAAACGGTTTACACCTCATGTGTATATACAGTTGAGAAACGGATTTTAGGAGGATACAGGTCATGTTTACCATATTCGGAGCTTTATGACCCAATCAACCGCCACGGTAGAATTGGAAAAAAGGGAAAAAAGGACCAAATTTAGAAAAGACAAAAAGGGGGGAAAATGATCAAATTTAGAAAAGACAAAGAAATTCATCTTACCTTTGCTCCGATCTGATTACCGCATTGGCCCGCTTGTATGTGCACAATTTCACGCATGGTTGAACTGTTTAAGTTACAAATTCAAATAGTTACCCTCCGAATTTGAAAAAGACTTTAATTTCTCCAATGAAATTGTGCATGTATCCACTGCAGTGATTTGTCGGCAGGAGATGGAGAAAGGCATACGCCCTATTATTACAGAGGCATCGGTTATTTTTGACAACGTTTCTTTTGCGCCCCCATCGGTACGGTCACAAGATCACAAGCCACATGCAAATTACTATTAGGGATCTTCTACAATGGTATAGCCTCTAGAAGGCACATCTAGAAGGAGGTCTTGAATATGCATATTAATGACGTCATGTCAGATTCTTGAATATTAACGTATCTTGTACCTCGCGCGAGTAAGAAGACTACAAGCAGATTGTGCCCATGCTAAAAGGTGGCACCTGCAGAACAGTGGCGCATATAAATCAGGTGCAAACTCACACCCTTATAATTATACAGGTGTATGTGTTTATGCGGCAGTAGTATTTAAGGGTTAAGCATATTTAATGAGTTTTTAAATCTTAATAACGTATTTATACAACTTTGGAGATTCTTATTGTCATGTGTGTACTCCAAAGAGCACGTGATCAGCTCGGTCGCCGGTCAAACCACCTCACTGCAGGAGTGCCTGCCTACCTCTAAATGTGCCTGAGAAAAGGGAAGTGTAATAAGGCATACAACTAGTGTAGTATATCAAACATCCGATAGATAGAGGACGAAATGAAGCTTCATAAGATACAAATGAGTTTCACTAATAAATTATTCAACTTCTTTTCATTGATTTTCTTTGGATTATACGTGTTTAAAGTGTTCAAAACATCACCTTCCTGTAGGTGTGCCCGCCTACCTCTACATCTGCCCGAGGAGAGGGAAGCGTAATAAAAGGTAGTGTTGTTTATTGAATACCCGAGAGTTAAATGATGAAATAAAGCTTTCTAAGATACAAATTCGTTTCAAACAAATCAAAAGTATCAATATAATCTTGTAGCGCAGAAGAATATATACTTAATGTTGGATAGTTTCTGCGCTCTATAAATGTATTATTATTATCATTAATAATGATATATATCCTATTCATTGATTTTCTTTGAATATAAATAAACGTGTTTTGATTGGCCAACTATCTCCTCCCTGCTGATGTGAAAGCCTTATTATCATAATTTTGCACAAAAATATGGTTCGATGCGATGTTTCCGGTCGAATATAATTAAGCTACAAGCTTAAAACAAATCTTCTTACACTGTATTGTTGCATATTACATGTAGTGGTAAAATTTTTGGAATTTTAACATATACCAGTTATCAACATTATACAATATATCTAATAACCACTTAATATACCAGTCATTTGTTTTACTGCTGCCTGAATGTGCTTGTAAAATCACCAAGCTAATGTTATTAATCCAGAACATAATCAGTTAGAGATAACGCTACTGATGTACCTTCAGCTTCCTGGAGCTTTAAAAATAAAACTTCAAGAAATGCTTATACAAATTTAGGTGTCCATATCAGTCGAATGAATGATAAAAAATCTCTATCATCCTTAAAATTATTTAAACCTCCAACTAGAGAGAAAGAAATGTAATTACATGTAGGTTTCACATTAAATATTTATCATTATTCAACTCCAAACTCCTGTACCGAATCGTTTTAGAAAGCGAAATAGATGCCTAATATTATATAATTGAGTAATCAATTACAGCATATTACTCGTCTTCCAAAATTATATAAAGATTTAAAATCCCATGAATAGTAATTGGGAGGGCATCAGCAAATATTGCTTCTGAGGATTTTAAGGGAATACTATACAGGTACATGTATTTTTTAACGGATCATGTCACAACCTTTATGAATTTTCAGTTTAAGGACATGCCTGTGGACCCCTCTTATAAAGAGCTGATATCAATTGCAACAGTGGCGGATCCAGGGGGGGCCGGGGGTTGGGCCCCCCCCTTGAGAAAAAAATCATGTAAAATCACGTGATTTTTACCTTTTTTGGGGGTTGGGCCCCCCCCCCCCCCCCCCCCCCCCCCCCCCCCCCACTGAGCGAATTTTTGGCCGGCGCGTTTTTCAAATTTTCGGGAGCAAAAAAAAAAAAAAAAAAAAAAATTGTGCTCTGTCCCCCCCCCCACTGAGCGACTTTTCGGCCGGCGCGATTTTCAAATTTTCGGGAGCAAAAAAAAAAAGTTGGGCCCCCTCCCCTAAGAAATCCTGGATCCGCGCCTGAATTGCAACTATGTTTATTAGAGACAGGAATCTGCAAACTTGCGATTGATTGGAGGGCTCACGATTGAGTTGGATCTATCGTAACTCTTTATAGGAAGGGGCCCCGATATGACATTCGAAATTTGCAAGTGACTCTTGACCTTATTTAAAACTACAGGTCCCCTCAGTGCACAGCAAGTTTTCCATGTTTTGTCGCAATTCGGATAAGAGTTGCAAACTTATTTGTCAGAGAGTATCTTACATGTTAAACTTTGCGATTGACATTTATGACAAAAATTATTCTAGCCAGTTATAATATCACAAAACTATAACATATCTTGTGGATTCAAATTGTTAAAGCCTAAATGGACGGATGCCATATTGGGATCCTTTGGTCTTGAATACACATTCTTTGCGCAAGACAATAAAATTACACTTCTGTAATTCGTGTTCCTGAATGTCTGAGCATTTTAGACAAAAATGATTAAAAGTTGACTATGTGTGATATGTATTAGAGCAAATATTGCGACTGTTTCATCACTGTAGCTGTAGTTTTATAGTGAGCAGTCTTGCAAAAATATCCAGGTGTGTGGGGTAACACCCTTCTCCTGAACTTCTGAAAGGAGTTCTTCTAAACAGCTCAACTTTAATGGGTTTAATAATAAACAAAATATATTCAGTTTGTAATTTTGAATAACAGTTATAGCAACTGGATAGAGGATATTTTACCTGGTTTGATATTGAAGATGCTTTTGGCTTAGTTTCCCATGATCTTATTATCCTCAGTCTTACGTAGTACTCCCAATAAAAAACTCCAGTACAGCCAGTTGTTGATTATATCATGAAGATTTTGTTCGACTGATCAGTGGAATTCATAACAGTTCAGTGTTTACAAAGGGCACCTTCCAAGGGGATCCCTTGTCTCCAATCATTTTTTCCTATGCTTCAAGTCTCATTTCCCCTATTTTTAGATGATCCCTTATAATCAATATGAATTCAATCTTCTCATTTAATCACCCTTTGCAAATTTAGATAGGTCAGGGTCATTGCCATCTACAAAAGAAGCTTTCATATTGGGTCTGGTAAACAGATACTGTAACCAAGGGTTGCGTAAAACCCACCTGCTAATTATGGTCCCGTTATTGTGTTGTGTCCTTCAAATTTCCAATAGTAGATGCAATGATTATGAGGCTGGCATCATGGTTTGTTATTCTGTTTGTATCCTTGGCAGATCCAATAGTTATTAGGCCTAAATTATGGTTTGTTAGTATGTGTTTGTAATTACACCAGATCCAATAATCAGAAACCTGGTTTGGTGTGGTACGGTTACGGTATCCATGGCAGATCCAATAATTATTAGGAGGCTGACATCATCTAGTCTGCATACTCTGCAAGCACAGACCCTAATTTGACACTTTATCAAAAAATCATTGTGCCTTGAGAGAAGTCTAGCCCAGCTACCTACTTGTTCAGGAGCAGCTACAGTACATGGCCTATGGTAGTCTTATAGTGCAGACTCACTTTTACGACTGACCAGGGTTTGTGCTTGCAGACTAGACATCATCACAGCCTATAGTCGGTGTGTATCGTGCATTTTATTTATCCATTGTAATTGTCCATTACAAATTTATACATGTATCGTTTTCTTGTCCAGCCTCTCTCTCTCTCTCTCTCTCCTTATCTTTCTCTCTCTCTCTCATCCCTCTTTTCTTTTCCCCTTCAATTTTGGGCAAATTAATTGGCAATACATGCCCCAAATCTTGGTATATAACTACGCCACTAAATGAGGCTAATATCATATAATTTCACGAGTTTCATTAATATAGCGTTCCCTGTCTTGGATATACCGTGAACAAGAAGCCCTTTTTTAAATATTATTATCGTAGGCTTAAATACATATTAATGAAGTAGAAATCTATTTTATTACTCAAGGTCCGTCCCCGTCTTGGTGTTTCTGGTCCTGTTCTGGGGGGGCGTTTCACAAAACGTGTCATCAGTGACAAATGACAGTTATTGTTAAAAGATACTGAAATCCTTACTTCTGATTGGTTATCATCAGATTTGTCACTGATATTGGTCATTTGTCACTGAAAAAGGGCTTTGTGAAACGGGTCCCAAGGTCTATACAAGTCATGCGATATATGAAGTCAGTCATTTGTGCATGTTTGTTTATGAAATATCTTCACGATTATACTTCTGGTCATAAACTCTCTAAGTCTAATAATATGAATGTCTAAGTATGGTATTTTCACATATACATGCCATTGCTTATGGAAAGCAAATTGGCACTTCCATTACCATATAATATATGTTCATAATAATAAACAATAATAGTTCCTAACCCTTATTCATATCACAATGAACGCTCATTCTGTAGCCCCGGTACGTCCGAAAAGGGAGGGGCATTAGCAGGACCCTCACCAGTAATGTCATTTTCAAAATAACCTAATCTAATATTTATCAATATAAGCCAATATAATATGTCTCTTTCTCCAAGAAGTACTACATGACTGCTGCTATCGGCTGCTATCGACTCAAGCATTCTTGCTTATGATAGTTGGCCTCTGCATTTATCTTGATTATTTTTACTTACCTCCATAGTTTCAAGCTTTCAATTATGCATTATTATGTGGGAGTATTTAAGTTGTCACTCGTTATGTAAATCAATTATATTATATATTATTATTGTTATTTGAATGTTTTATATTTGATTTATCAATAAATGCAGAAACACCTGCTAAAAAATCATAATAATAAAAAAAAATGACCGGCGTTAAGGATGTATACTGTATACTGTATAATCGTGTTAGCTGTCTGACTGTCTCATACACTTGACACGCCGTTTAATATTGTTATGCATATGTAATGCGTCCTCTTACTCTTCGAACTACACGTATCATATTTCCTTGATGAGTTCATGTATCAAAATTCATTATTACTTGACACACGT